TATTTGTTTCTTGAAACAATGTTTTTATTAAAGTCTATGATATTATTATACTCCTCCCTACTCTCTTATGGTTATCACTTGCTCATATGGTTGTCTTTTGCAACAGGTATCTTTTTCCATCATTTCACTTCAGCCTATATGTGTCATAAATAATAAAGTGGATCTCTTAAAGACATCATGTAGTTGGATCACATGTTTTGTAGCCACTCAGACACTCTGTAAGTTATCATGCAGTCAAATGATTCCCACAGACACAGCCACAAGGCTCCCACAGTCACAGGATCTCTCTCTGCCCTGTGAACCTCTCCCATTCACAGACAGATCAGAGTGATTTTCAAAGCCAGCTGCGTGCATGCGCTCCATCTTGGTTGTTGGAGCCATGAAGCCTGTGATATATTGAGTGTCTGGAAACACCTCACAGTCCTATGTGGGTGTCCAGCCCTCTGTCAACTCTCTGAGCCAGACTCAAAGTCAGTGGAGAATGCAAATCAACACATCAGAGATGAAAAAGGAAATGTAACAACAGATACCACAGAAATGAAAAGAATTATCAGAAATTACTATAAAGGGCTCTATGCTAAAAAACTGGGAAACCTAGAAGAAATGGATAGAATCCTGGACACATACAACCTACCTAAATTGAGCCATGAAGAGATAGAAAACCTAAACAGACCCATTGCCCAGACATGGAATGACAATCACTTTAGTAGCACTTTGACCTCAGAATCAGGCTTTAAGGCATTCTGAGAAGCCTACGGAAGCATTTCAGACATGGAAACCAAGATACTGTGGCAAAAAATATCCTACATGAAGGATCTCATGAGTGAGTCCCCAGTGGAAAGAAGTGGTCATCAAAGAAGGATGTACTATTCTCTGAAGGCAGGAGAAAAATTCCACTTTGCTTATGGCTTTGTCTAAATACTGACAGAATTTGTGGATTCAAAAGTCTTCCATAGCCTAGACAGCTCATGTCAAGAGCCTCGGGTGACACTGATGTCATATTTAAGAGTGTTAATTGTTAAATTAACAGCAGGAGTCACTATGCATTAACTTTCCATGCAGGATCTCTGTCCTCAGAGAGTTGTATTATGAGAGTTAACATTAAAACTTGTTCTCAAAGATTTATTTCATTTTAGTGTATTAAGAAGAGGATATTCTTATGTCTCATAAGTTTTAGTTATGCCTAAGTGTCCAACTCCAGTGCTTGTTTTCTTAGGTGCTCCCTAATTAATGATAAAACTTGTTTCAAATACTTACTTCCTTTTAATGCTTTTATTTATTTATTTATTCATTTTTAATTTTTTGACAGACAGAGTGGACAGTGAGAGAGAGAGACAGGGAGAAAGGTCTTCCTTTTGCCGTTGGTTCACCCTCCAGCGCACTGCGCTGATCCGATGGCAGAGCCAGGTACTTATCCTGGTCTCCCATGGGGTGTAGGGCCCAAGCACTTGGGCCATCCTCCACTGCACTCCCGGGCCATAGCAGAGAGCTGGCCTGGAAGAGGGGCAACCGGGGCAGAATCCGGCACCCCGACCGGGACTAGAACCCGGTGTGCTGGCACTGGTAGGCGGAGGATTAACCTAGTGAGCCGCGGCGCCGGCCCCTTTTAATGTTTTAAATGGAGAAAATTCTTTTGTCTCATAAGTATATTTATGTCTAAGTGCTTGCAAAAGATGTATCATTCTCAGGTGCTTTTCTAAAGTTAATAAAATTTCTCCAAAAAAAAAAAAAAAGTGAAATTAACTTCAAGATGCAATGACTATGAACAGCCCTTGTCTTGACTGTTGAGAAACAGTTTTCTTTTCCCGTGCAAATGGTTGAACTCTTTAATTAGTATAGAGTTCGTCCTCTGTGTATAAAGTTAATTGAAAATGCATCTTAGTAGATAATGGGACTGGGAATGGGAGAGGGTGGGGGGTGGGAATGTGGGTGGTAAGGCAGGTATGGTGGGAAGAATCACTATATTCCTTGAATATAAGGTCTCTTTGGGAAAAAAAAATGATGTCTGAGTTGGGTCTTGAAGGATCAGTGACAGTCAAAAATATAAAGAGTGAAAGACATTCAATATGGAGAGAACTATAAACATACTCATATAAATTAAGTTTTGAAAATTAATATCTTCTGGGGCCAGCACTGTCGCCTAGTGGGTAAAACCGCCACCTGCAGTGCCGGCATCTCGTATGGGCACTGGTTTGAGACCCGGCTGCTCTACTTCCAATCCAGCTCTCTGCTATGGCCTGGGAAAGCAGTAGAGGATGGCCCAAGTCTTTGGGCCCCTGCACCCATGTGGGAGACCTAGAAGAAGCGCCTGGCTCCTGGCTTCGGATCTACACAGCTCCGGCCGTTGCAGCCAATTGGGGAGTGAACCAGCGGTTGGAAGTCATCTCTCTCTCTCTCTCTCTCTGCCTCTCCTTCTCTCTCTGTGTAATTCTGACTTTCAAATAAATAAATCTTTAAAAAAAAGAAAATTAATATCTTCCTAAGAGGAGGAAATGAGTTGTATTAAATATATAAAAAAACTGATTTTGTAGTGAGATCTCACATGGATCATGAACCAAAGACCACAATTCATACAACCTGTTCCCATTTCTACTTACCTTCCTTTTCTTCCATTACCCAAGGAGAGATAAAGACAAAACTAAGGAACAACAAATTAAAAGAAAAAAAAAACCTGACTATATGTTGTAGTATGTTTTCATTTTAAATGGTATGCTGATACTACCTCTAACTCTCAACACAAAATAGTGTATCTAGCTCATAAAATTTCAGTGGACATTTATTAAATGTTGAATAACTATCTCCAAGCCTCCATGAGAATGGCAATGAGTCCATGTTGATGAGGATAATAGTTATGTTTTTATGATATTCTCTTAGCACACTGATCCAATTGATGACACATGATTCAACATTTATTGAACATATATTATGTACCATAATAAATGTCACATTGTCATTTTTGCAAGAAATTCTTCTAATAAAAGAGAAAGAAAGAAAATATCCATAATCTTTCATCAATGTCTTAACATTCTAGAAATCTTGAATTACACATCTAATAATCCTGAACAGGAACATAAGAGATGGAAATCTTAAATCCCATTTCTATGACCACTTAATTAGAATTGGATGTATTTTTACAATTAAAACTACACATACATTTGTTGTAATAAAATGCCATGGGAGTTTTTCCCTCAGGTACCCTTTATGCCTTTTAATTCAAAGAAATCCCAGCAACAGATCTCTGAACGATCCTTTTGGACTGAAGATTCGTGGGTGTGACAGACGCTTTCCACATCTGTTTGCTGTTTTGTGCTACAGTGGCAGAGAAATGAACGAAATCATCCTGAAATGCCACATTGGCACTTGAAGGTAATGTAAAATCCTACAGATGTAAGAATCATTATGTATATGTATTTTAAATTATAATATAGTCTTTTTAGCTTGAGTAACTATTTTATATAAAATTTAATATTAGTGAATTCTAATTTTTAAGTTTAATTTTTATGGAATATTTTCTCTGGTGTTGTAGGTTTTGAGGAAAATCTGGATAGTAATTTACGGACAAGTGAATTTGAAGGCAAAGATTTTAATACTTTATTTTTATTTGTGAGATGACCTACCTGGTGAAAAATTATGAGTTTTTGAATCACACAAACAGAGTTTAGATGTAGCTCTTCCCTTTATTACTTATATTACCTTAGATTCTAGTTTCCAAATTTGCAAAGCAGAAAAATAAATACTGCAACATGTGCTTCACTATATCTTGATGAAATGAAATGCACAAGTCAATGCACAGTGTCTAGTTTCATTTAATGAATTATTAATTTCCCAGAACATGTTTTTACTTCGCATGTGATATGTAACTATTTTGCTGTAAATATATCAAGTAATTAAGCATAACAGCTTTCAGTTTTAAATTTTTCTTTGTTGTACATATATGATAATGAAAGAAGTAGAAAAATATAAAATTTTCTTTGATGATTTTTCACTGTTTATATTCTTTTTTTTTTTTGACAGGCAGAGTGGATAGTGAGAGAGAGAGACAGAGAGAAAGGTCTTCCTTTTGCCATTGGTTCACCCTCCAATGGCCGCCATGGCAGGCACGCTGCGGCCGGTGTACCACGCTGATCCTATGGCAGGAGCCAGGTACTTCTGGTCTCCTATGGGGTGCAGGGCCCAAGCACTTGGGCCATCCTCCACTGCCTTCCTGGGCCACAGCAGAGAGCTGGCCTGGAAGAGGGGCAACCGGGACAGAATCCGGCGCCCCGACCGGGACTAGAACCCGGTGTGCTGGCGCCGCTAGGTGGAGGATTAGCCTATTGAGCCGTGGCACCAGCTATATTCTTTTACAATGCTTGTCATAAGTCCCAAGAATTGTATTTCAATATTTCCCTGTATTTACACTATCAAACTACAGCTAAAATATCATTAAAACACTTCCTCTCAGTGATTTTTCACAGATAATTTAGGTCTTAAAGGAGAGATTTTTGGAAGACATGCTTTAAGTGGCAGGTATGTGAAAAAGTTAACACAATTCTTCATTACTATAGCCCTGTATTCTGGATATCTGTGGTTGGTGTGTGTGTGAAAATGAATTATGAGATGAAGATTTTATAGATAAATTGTATTGAAAATGTTAGATAATAAATGATAGGATAAAGAAAGACCATATATCTTTTAAGAGATGGAACGCAGATGCAATCTCATTTGGTCTATGGATAATTTGGCATAACATTTACGATCATGGAATCTGGCATCAAGTATTGGATCATATCTTAGTTCTTTTACTATCTTAATAATTTTGTTCAATAAATTAACCACATTTGTATTATCCCTCTATTTCTTCATATGTAAAATGGCCTAATAGGCTCTTATGAGAGCTGAAGTCATATAAATATTCATATATTTTCATGTGCAAAATTTTTTTATTAAATAGAAACCTAGGAAGAGTTTAAAGGTTAAAAAAGTCATACATTTTCTATGGCCTACATCTCTGTTTTTCAATTTATGAATATTTCCAAAATTTAAAATGTAATATTAAGATGTACTGTGCTCTATATTATTTCAGATGGATTAAATTTCCAGTGTGTATGCTGGACTCATCTGGACTTCATGGAAAATCATAAAAATGTCACAGAATTTGTTTTCATGGGACTGTGGGGAAATAGGCAAATAGAACTACTGTTCTCTTTCTTATTCCTGCTTTGTTATCTGGCTGTCTTGATGGGGAACTTCGTCATTTTCCTCACAATCACCCGCAGCCATCTCATCGAACAGCCTATGTACTATTTTCTCTGCCACCTTTCCCTCATGGACGTCTGCTACACCTCTACTGTGGTCCCCCGGCTAATCAGGGACTTAGCTGCAGTAAGAAAACACATTTCCTACAACGACTGCATGACCCAGCTCTTCACTGCCCACTTGCTGGCTGGTGTGGAAATTTTCATCTTGGTGTCTATGGCCTTAGACCGCTATGTTGCCATTGTCAAGCCCTTGCACTACATGATCATCATGAACCGGAAGAGATGCAACATGCTGCTAGCCATGGCTTGGGTTGTGGGGTTTTGGCACTCTATTGCTCTGCTGCTCATGGTGCTCAGTTTACCTTTCTGTGGTCCTAATCAGATAAATCACTACTTATGCGATGTAAAGCCTCTCTTGAAATTGGTCTGCAAAGATATTCACGTTGTTAGTATCTTAGTGATTGCTAATTCAGGGATGGTGGTAGTTGTCATTTTTCTGGTTTTAGTAGCTTCTTACGTTCTCATTTTATATAATCTTAGGACAAGGTCCTCTGCAGGGCGTCGCAAAGCTCTGTCAACCTGTAGTTCTCACATAATGGTTGTAGTTTTATTTTTTGTGCCCTGCATCTATACCTATGTACTACCTGCAGGTAGTGAGAACAAGGACAAGGAAATCTCTGTGTTTTACACTGTGATTGCTCCCATGCTAAATCCTCTCATCTACACCCTGAGAAATACGGAGATGAAACTTGCCATGGGGAAGGTATGGTCTCGATTGTCAAATTCAGAATTAAAGTAGATAAGGCGATATTCACTGTGCTTTTAATTGCATCTCTCCCAGTAAGTTATCATTTAAAAACTAACAGAAGCATTGTAAACTTCCTTTGGGAGTTGGACTAAATTACCTCTTACGTAAAATGAGAAAAGATGCAAGTTGGCAAGCTACTTTGGTTCACATTGCAATCTGCACTTACCACAGTTGTGACCACCTGGACTTCAAGTGTGCAAGAAATGTTCTTCTAAAGTACATATTTGATGCGGTCAATTAACTTGCTAAGAAGAATTACACAAAATTCAATTTCTCTTGGAATAAAATACAGGTTTCTCACTCGTTAATCAGAAATCTCTCTTTTGCAATGAAATGGATACAACTGGAAACTATACTTAGGGAAATAAACCAGTCCCCAAGAGATAAATACCATTTGTTCTCCCTGATGTGTGGTGACTAATAGAGTACCTGAAAGGTAATCTATAGGAGTGAAGCTGAAACTTTGAGATGTGATGATCTTTAACAGTAATTGTCTTGACTGTTGATGAACAGTTTTTTTTTTCATACTGTTTGTTGAACTCTTAGTTTAGGGTAAACCTTATGAGTATAAAGTGAACTGAAAATAGTTCTTTGTAAAAATTAAGAGTAGGAACAGTAGAGGAAGGGAGAAGCAGGGTGGGAACATGGGCAGGAGGGAGGATAGGGTAGAAAGTATCACTATGTTCCTAAATCTGTATATATGAAATACATGAAATTTGTATACTTTAAATAAATTTCAGAAAAAAAGAAATTTCTCAAAACTGGTCTAAATCTAATCTACTAATCTCAGAATTTCCTATACTAGAAGAAACTATAATGCCATGGAATTAGGCTTTGGAATCAGGGAGACCCATGTGACAAGCTTGCTTTCTCAATTTTTATCTCTATGTCTTGGCAATTTGCTTTAAATTTATGATTCTTCAGTATAAAATATCTTTGACAAGAGCCAGTAGTACAGTTCCTAAATATGTAAAATTCCTTTGGCTAATGTGAAGTTTCACAGAGCACATAGAATAATAGAAACTCATGCTAGGTATTACTCCTCTTTGCACACTTTTCTTTCTGTGTTCCCTACCCTTGGGTACTTTCATCCATCCACAGTGGACCTCTCTCTATTTCCCACCAGGTCATCATTCTGACATCTTCTCTGCATAAAACTACCTTTCTCCTGCGCTTGCAAGTCCTTCTATTAGATATAATTCATGCTCCTGTATTTACCTCATCCAGGATGGTCTCAAAAACTGAACACAAAAAAATAAATTTTTATTCTTTACCTGTTAATATTTTGGCATTCATCTGTATGTGTACAATATTCCAAATAAGCCCATTCTAATGCTGATATTCCTTTTATGAACATGTTTTTCCAGTTGAGGCAGATTATGGGCTATATTCTTTTGTTTCATCATTCTTTTTGTTAATTTGACACAGATTAAGATATAAGTAGAAACTATTGAATCTAATTTACAGATACCATGGTCTTTTTTTATTTGACTACATACACTGTTCTCACATACCCTGACCCTTCACTTATATCAAAAACCTTTATGTATCAACAATAAAAATTAGTGTGAGAAATGCCAACAATTCAATCTGCATCCTATGTGCCTAACTTGGCAGAAATAAAATCCAGTAGGTACTCTGCCTCACAAAAAGTTTTTGTTTTTGTTTTTGTTTTAATAAACTGTAGGTTTTATTCTTAGTTTACTCATACTTTTGACATATATAGTAGTAATTTTTTCCTCCAGAAATCTTTTATTTAAGGTATATAAACTTCATGCATTTCATAAATACAACTCTAAGAATATAGTGATTGGTGCCGGCGCCATTGTGGCTTGGTTAATCCTCCACCTGCGGCGCCGGCATCCCATATGGATGCTGGTTCTAGTCCTAGGTGCTCCTCTTCTAGTCCAGCTCTCTGCTTTGGCCCAGGAAGGCAGTGGAGGATGGCCTGAGTGCTTGGGCCCCTGAAGCCACATGGGTGACCAGAGGAACACCTGGCTCCTGGCTTTGGATCGGCACAGTTCTGGCCGTGGCGGCCATTTGTTGGGGTGGACCAACAGAAGGAAGACCTTTATTTCTGTCTTTCTCTCACTGTCTATAACTCTACCTGTCAAAAAAAAAAGGACAAAGTGATTCTTCCCACCTTACCTACCCTCTACCCACACTCCCACCCCTCTTGCTTCTCCCTCTTCTATTCAAATTCTTATTTTTTAAAAGATATATTTTCAATTATTTTATACACGAAAGATTATCCCCATACTAAATAAAGAGTTCAACAAATGGTATGAAAAATAAAAAACTTCTTCAAAATTGAGACAAGTGTCAATTTTACTTCCATAGATCAACTTGTAGGGGTTCTGTTAGTTACCACTAAATAGGGAGAACATATATTTGTCCTTTTAAAACTGGCTTATTTCACTGAGTATGATGTTTTCCAGCTTTATTCATTTTGTTGCAAACAACAGGATTTCATTTTTTACTGCTGTGTAGTATTCCATGGCATACAACAATAGCAAACCAAATCCAAAACTAGTAGAAAAAAGGAAATAATTAAAATTAGAGAAGAAATCAACAAAGTTGAAACTAAAAAAATTACAAAAGATCAACAAAACAAAAAGCTGGTTTTGGGAAAAAAAAATAAAATTGACACACCATTGCAATTGGTGTTTTCATAAAGGTATGAAAAATAAATCAATGTACCAGAATAGAGTCTTGAAGGAACATACACAGATGGAGCTAACTAATATTTAATAAGTTTGTTGGCAATTTGGAAATTAAACAAGAAGAAGATTATTCCTCATTTGGTGATGGAAAAAGTGGATGTCCCAAGTGGATGTCCCCTTGTAACAAACACACACCTTGCATCAATGTATCACACTTTGCACTAATTTAAATGAAACAGATCTTGAATCTATCTATGAAATGTAAAAGTGTAAAAATGATTAGAGTAAAATAAGGGAAATTCTTTGTGAATTTGGTAAGATAAATAAGTTTCAAGTTACAATATCAAATGGATGATCCACAATATATTGCTAAGTTACGCTTCAGCAAATTAATGCTATTACTGAAAAAATGGTACAATACCTCAGATGTTCTAAAATACAAAAAGATAAGTATATGAAGTAATAAAAATATTAGTTTGAATTAGCCATTCAAAATTTTATACATAAATTACAATATCATGTACACAACAAATATATATGATAATTATTTTAATTACAATCAACATATTTTGAAAATTGAAAGTGTAAGTACAATGCTTATCCTATACATCTTCAATGGATGCCCTACTATGTGCTTTTTTGGGGGGGGAGGTTAAGATATGGCTGTCTCCGTCTGTGGATTTATACAGGCCAATATGAGTGAAGTTTACTCAGCGTTGGATGTCATGTGGAAGTGGACATGTAACAAAACACTAGATTTTTGATATTTCTTGTACTGAATTCCACTTTTCTTTGAGTTATTTAATTCTTAAAGCCTAGATTCAAATACTAGACTTAAAAACACTTATTTTCTTGTTCCTCTTGATTACCAGCTGTTTGTGCTAGTTATTTAGTATTTAGAAGCCTCTGTATATTCATCTGTTATAATAGATCTAATAATGCTAAAATATAATTTCATAAGTATTAGATAACATGACAAACTTTCAAAAATCCATATAAAAATTCACATTATCTTATAATTCCATGTCCATTAACTTTTTAAAAAGGTTTTTATTATTTATTTATTTATAAATAAATTTGAAAGGCAGAGTTACAGAGAGGCAGAGGCAGATTACAGATCACTCCCCAAATGGCCGCAATGTCGGAGCTGGGCTGATCTGAAGCCACGATCCAGGAGCTTCTTCATGGGTCTCCTGTGTGGGGCCAGGGGACCAAGGACTTTGGCCATCTTCTACTATTTTCCCAGGCCATAAGCAGAGAGCTGGATTGGAAGAGGAGTAGCTTGGACAAGAATCTGTGCCCATATGGGATTATGGGGCCACAGGCGGAGACTTAGACATCGATGCCACAGAGCAGGCCCCAAGAGATCTTCATTTTTTTAAAATTCTACTTAAGTTGTACAAGTTTCACGTATTTCATATATACAGATTTAGAAGCATAGTGACACTATCCCCACCCTCCCTCCCACCGTGCTCTAACCATTCCTTCTCCTCTCACACTCCCAGTCTTTATTTTTTTTTAAACTTTTATTTAATGAATATAAATTTCCAAAGTACAGCTTATGGATTACAATGGCTTCCCCCCCATACCGTCCCTCCCACCCACAACCCTCCCTTTTCCCACTCCCTCTCCCCTTCCATTCACATCAAGATTCATTTTCGATTATCTTAATATACAGAAGATCAGCTTAGTATACATTAAGTAAGGATTTCAACAGTTTGGCTCTCACACAGAGACCATAAAGTGGAAAAATAATAAAATGGATTTTTTTTTTAATGATGATGAGATTCAGCATCAGAACCTAATGGTCATGTTCAATGCCCAGTGGAAGAGTCAAAGTTGGGGGAGTTGGGAAAGATTTCCCTTTTTTTTTTTTT